GAATTATTCTTTCTTAGGCTGTTACTTTTGCATGCAAAAGAAGCCAAGTCTTGGGAGGTTGTGCGTACTGTTAATGGTATTGCTGTTGAAACATTTCGTGAAGCATGCGTTTTAAATGGTTTGTTACAAGATGACACTGAATGGCAGAATGCACTTTCTGAGGCAGTTTTAACATGTATGCCAAAGCAAATTAGACAGTTATTTGCAATTATTTTGACTTTTTGTGAACCAGACAATCCTTTGCATCTTTGGAATACATACAAAGCATTTATGATTGAGGACTTTATTCACCGCTCAGTCCCGCTTATAATAGCTGAACAAGCTGCTCTTTGCCAAGTTGAAAAGATTATTAATCAGTGTGGTAAAACGCTGGCTGATTATAATCTGCCTGTTGTTGAGTTAGATTTTAATCTAGATAATCTAGAAAATTTCAATCAAAATGCACAACAACCAATTGATGAAGCCAATAAAATGAGACCACTGCTCAATGTCAATCAATTAAATGTATGTAATGCTATTCTTGCTGCATTGAATGAACAACAACTGTAATGCTATTCTTGCTACATTGAATGAACAAGTGTAGAAAATCAACATTCTCGATTGTTTTTTATGGGTGGATTAAATCTGCTACAGCTGCATGGACTGGCATAGCAGCAACTCTTCTTACAAATGGATCTACATTGCATGGCTTATTCAAACTTCCTGTTCCAATATTAGATAACAGCACATGTAATGTAACTCCAAACTCTATACATGGACACTTTTTAAGTCAGGTTAGTTTGTTTTTGCTTGATGAAACATCCATGGGTGCAGAAGTTTAAGTTAACTGAAAATATGAGAGTACATGATGGGAAAAGGGAATTTTCAAATTGGCTGTTAAGACTTGGTAGTGGAACAGTATTTGTCAAAGAGGAAGATCCTTTTAAAGGATGCATTGAAATACCGCATCAATGCTTTATTAGGGAAAATGACTCCATTGTTGAAAAGATATTTGGGGATGCCGAACAAGACGATTATACTAAACGTGTCATTTTGACACCAACTAATGTGGATTCACTATCAATCGATGAAGAAGTGCTTCAACGTCTACCAGGTGAGGTCAAAACTTATTTAAGTGCTATTTAAGTTGAGACAGACAATCTTAATGAAAGAAATAACTTTCCTGTTGAGTTTTTAAATAGCTTAATTCCCTCAGGTATGCCTCCTCATTCTTTAAAGTTTAAAATTGGTTGTATAATTAAGTTACTTAGAAATTTAGATCTCAAAGCTGGGTTATGCAATGGCATTCGAATGAAAGTTTGTGCTCTTCAAAATAATTATATTGATGCAGAGGTTTTGACAGGTGTTTCTGCTGGTAAACGAGTATTTCTACCTCGAATTCAGTTGGCTCCGTCAGATTCTAATTTACCTTTTGTTCTAAAACGTTGCCAGTTTCCTGTCAGATTGGCATATTCAATGACAATTAATAAAAGTCAAGGTCAAACATTTGATAGAGTTGGTGTATATCTAAAGAAACCGTGTTTCACTTATGGTCAACTTTATGTTGCATGTTCAAGAACTAGAGCATTTAATAGTTTATTTTTTAAAATTGATAAACATCCCATTCAAGGTATAATAGGTGAAAAGTGTTACACAAATAATGTTGTAGTTTCTAATGTTCTTAATTTATAATTATGAGATTTTTGTTATAATTTTCACTTTTTTTCATAGTTTTATTTTATATTGTTTTAGTAATTATATTTGTCTTTATACATGTTTATAATTGTTATATGTATTATGTAAGTGTTATATGTATGTTATGTGTTAGTTGTTATTTAAATTGTTCATGTAATACTTGGGCTATATGTGTTATCAAGGTTATATGTGTTTAGGGTTTGTGTATATGTGTTTATAGTTTGTGTATATATGTTTATATTACGTTGTTTCCATATTTTCAAAGTGGTGTGACTTGGCAAACGTGTCGAGCAAGATAGTTAACCTTGCCAGCCAAGCGGTGTACTTAAAGCAGAGGTGTGACTTGGCAGCATTTAGTGCCAAGTGGTGTTACTGCTTTGTTGTGGCTAGGTTGTGTTGTCTAGCCTTTTTTAATAATATTATGGAAACATGTAATGTCTACTAATATTAAGCATCATATGTACATACAAATATGTAATGTGTTAAATGTGTTAATATGTTTTATAATGTCATACCGCCACGATCATAGCACAATTACCTAAGTCATTTTTTGGGGGTTTTTCAGAAGTTAAGAGTTGAAATGTTTAGCTTAAACAGTCTTCTATAATGTGGCAAATCGTCTATGTCTTAAACCAGTCAGAAAGGAGTTGATTTTTAATTTTTTATATACTTCTGCCTAAATCCCCATTTTTACTTATATCCTATTGTTTTTGACCTATATCCTATTACTCAACGGTAATACACATATCACTTCTAAAGCAATATATGAAAGCATCTAAGTTAAAAGATGCCAAAAATAAACCAAAGTGACGTAGCAAAAGAAATACCGAAGTTATTCAGTTTTTTTTAGTTTTCTCAAAACAAGAAAATAATGACTTAGGCAATTGTGCTATGATCGTGACGATATGTTTATAGTTTGTTTCTTTATCTATTTTATGTAGTTTCCATGCTTTCATTGTGGTTTGACTTTGCCATTGTATAGAGCAAGTTTAATGTGTACTTATAAATATCTTATGTGCTTTTGTTTTGCCTTATCGTTGTAACATTGTTGTGATGATTTGTGTTGATAGACAGTTGGCTTACCTTCTCGTTGGTGTCTATCGTTAAAAATGATTAATTGGTAATTCTATTCAAGGAGCTTACTGTTTCTAATCATTCACTAAAAGCCAAGACAAAACATATTACTATAAACACAATTTGTTTATATTTCAATTTGTTTTTTTTATCTTTAGTGTTGTTCATAGTTCTATTCTTTAAAACATTTTTAATTGGCTTTTTAATAAATGTTAATTAATTAAACATTTTGAAACCTTTTTTTCGTCTTCAATAAAAGCCAGCATGAAATAATGTCATTGAACAACACCATCAAATACTGCTTCATCGAAACAGCAACTGCAGTTTGCCAAAAACAGGTTAATTGTTTTCCTGTTTTAAAAATGTTTTTCTTTTCTATTATATTTACTTATCTATTATATTTTTCTTTTAGACACCATGTGACATATTTATGCGATACAGGAAAACACAAACAATAATTATAAAATAATAAATAATAATTAAAAAAATATTTATTTTTAAATAAATTTGTTATTGTGTAATAAACGGAAGGGTCGGATTTTAGAAGCATGAAATATTTAAAAATTTCTGTTTGAAATGCATTTTTCATCTATGACGGAGAGACCTTTATGTAATTAACTAAAATTTAATTATGCGCACATTAAACGCTTTTAAGTTAAATAGAACTTTTTTTTTTTCCTTAATAAAGGAGAGGGGGTTACCAAAAAATTAATAAGTGTCCCGTTAGACATTAGAAGTTAACATTTATATAAGTATTATAATAAAATTTTTTAACTGCTCCAAAAAATTTAAAGATGTTAAGGAAAATTTCAACTAAATGATAAAAAAAACGCCTTCACTCTAAAACAAATAATATATCCAAAAAAAAAATTAGTTTTTGTCATATTTAACAGTAACTCTCTTATGTTAATTATTGTGTCTTCTTTTTAACACGGTGCCTTGGAAACACTGTCTTAGTCTCACTTAAATAAGAATTAATAAAGCGAGATAAAACCTGAATAAGTACGGAGCTCTTGCGTACTTCTTAACACTATTGATAATGACCGTGTATAAACATATTTTACGCGTTGGTTGCTGTTTTATAATATAATTATAACTATAAGCAATGACATTGCTAATAGGGAGCCGAACTTTAAATACAAATTTATCTGTAAAATTATTTACAGATAAATTTGTATTTAGATATATTTTTTTAGATAATGTAGTAAGTTATGTTGTTACTAATGATTTAGTTATTTTTAACCCATTTTACGGGTTGCTTACTGCTAGTATAAACTAAACGTGTAATGTTTGTACATAGAATTTACCCTGAATATATTTGTATAAATGTATGCATATGTAAAGTCCTTTATATTTGCTAATAAAATGCATAAAAGATTTATATGGTATTTCTTTGTTAGAAAAATTGGTGTGAAATGAAAAAAAAATTCAAATTGGTCAATACGTTGATACGCCATCATTTGAAGAGAGTTCCTTATAGTATAACATAAAAATTATTTTATAATTTTTTTGTATACTTTCATTATAAATGAATACGAAATAATTAAACAATTATAACATTTTTTCTTAAAAATCTCTATGCAGATTTAGGCTTTTATACCTAAATTTGAATCGGTCAAAGTTTTTTCTATAACCTAACTGTATAAAAAAATGTTAAACGTTTACAAATCGTTTTTGTGCCTCTGGACAATTCCTGTATTTGAGTAATCTAATTCTTAATTATTTCACATTTGCTAATTCCTACTTTTATACTGAAAAATTAGTCAGAATTAGTGCAATATTGTAAGTCGGAATTACGTTTTTTAACAAATTCAAAGAGTCCAATTCCCAGTTATAAAAATTTCAAATGTCGGTTTCAATTCCTAATTTCGAGTTGTGCTCTAATAGGAAAATAATGTTTCCCACAAATAAAAAAGGGAAAATAAACACATCCTATTGCAACAGGTTGATAAAAGCAAAACTTTTCTACCAGTTTTAAATTTTTCTACCAATATTTGTTGGTAAAAAAAAAGTTGTTTCAAGAAAGTGTTGCTTCAGCTTTTTTTTTTTTTTTTTGAGCCACAATTTTTTTGCATGTATGATAGAAATATTTAAACTTTTGAATTAAACATGCTTTAAAAAAATATGACATTATTTAAAAAATTTTTTAACTTTTTGTCAAAGAAAATTTTTTTGGAATAGAAATAGATAAAGTTGGTAAAAAGTTTTTAAAAAACAACTAAATTTATTTAAAGAATTAAAAGATTGCATACTCATCTTTAGGTGTCAACTCCATGAGAAGTTTTCCTAAACTTCTATGAGATATTGTGAGCAATCCTGAGTAGAATTCTATAAGATGATTAAGCATATTAATATATTTTAATTGTCTTTATTTATACAAAAAAAGAATGTTTTAATAACATACTTTGAAGTTCATATACACTGTTTGCCAATCTTCCACCTTTTCCATCTACACAATTTGTTGCCAATCCATCTTTAGAATAAGTTAAGTGAAAATGTGGACCTGATAAACACATACCTCCATCCTGAATTGCAAACACATTATATTGCAAACTGTTAGCTACAATAGCACATTTTTCTATCGCATTGACTCTATTCATGAAACTGTCTTTAAGACTTTCATATTTTGCTTCTAACTTTAATATCGAAGAATCGTGGGAATAATCAGCCCAACAACCAATATCTCTAAAACTACCTAAAAATATAAAAAAAAAAATCAACTTTTTAATCTTGAATTACTTTATATTTGCTGTCATTTTTAAACTAAAACACCCACCCTCACAATATCAATCGCCTACAATCTCACAAAAAAAAAAAAAAACATTCAACACAACCTTTAAAAAAAAAAGAATTTTAAACTACTTTATACATATCTTTTTTTCTATAGTCTAAAAAAACTTTATATAATATCTATGTTAGTGTTTGTTTTGTTATTGATTTTCATCAATGATTAAATAAAACACCACCATAATTTTCAATCACTTTGCTTCAAAACCTTACTATAATTGAGCAACAATAAAACCTCACTATAAGTTAACAACAATAAAACCTCACTATAAGTGAACAATAATGAAGTCAAAATGAAGTAAATATTTGAAAAATCTTTTCAACTTATAATAATATAATTGAGTATTTTATTTTCAAATTTAATTAAAATAAAAAATAGGTAATTAAAAGTTTATTAAACATCATATAAAAGAAGAAGATGTTTTGATTTAATTTTTGTCTTAAAAGTATCAATGATATAATTTAGAGTTTGTGTTTTTCCATGTGTGCCTATGTTAAAGAATTCAAAAATACAAACAAAGAACAATGTCAATGTATCAAATTTTGTTAATTTTGCTTAATGCTTGCTATTTGAAAAAATTAAAAGAAAAATATAGATAGGAAAAAATCAAAAAATCAAAAAAAGGAAGAACTTTAGAAAAAAAAGTAATAATAAAAATAAAAAAAATCACAAATAAAAAAAAGTTAAAAATAAAAAAATGACTTTTTATTACTTTTATATTTTCATATTCATTAAGTTTATTTCTTCATTTAGTTTTAAATTGATTTGACCCATCAGTTTCATATTGAACTCACAATACCATCAACTCAAAATTTGTTAATATTTTTAATTCACGGTTGCAGCATCAGCATCATTGCAAGAGAAGATTTTTTGAAAATAATAGAACTATATATATGAAACTCGTCAGGATAGCAAGGCCTGGCAATGAGCTCTGTCAAACTTTATAACATTTTTGTAAATTTTGATTACTGAATAAACTGAACTACCTGTTTTGTTTATATATAGTAACACAATGGGTGAACACAATAAAAAACTGAACTGTTTCCACCTCCTTGTGTTACTATATATTGTATTCATCCATTTTATTATTATATACTTTACCAATTGTGCTGTTACTACATTATTTTACTTCTATCATTTTTTAAAATTAATTTGAAAAAATAAGAATCGTAAAACAGAATCGTAAAGTATCAAAATGAACAAAAATTTGAAAATTGCAAATTTTGGAATTGTTTGTCAACTTTCTTTTAACAAATATGCAAAGTGTACAATATACAATTTTATCTCAATTATAATAACTATAAATATTATTTTACCCTGTTTCTTTGTCTGACTTTTAATGTCATTCTGGAAAAGATTTTCTGGGTATTTCACAACATTTTTAGTAGATCCAAAAGAATTCACAACATAAGACGCATTAAACTTCTTTGTTTCAACAATTTGAATGTAAATTTCTACAAAATTAAAAATACATGATAACATGTGAAAATTAAAAAAAAAAATTATAAAAATATATATTAGAAAAATGTTTAAAGATGCTAACCGAAAATTATAATTGATAGAAATAAACATACAATAAGACAAATTTGATAAAAAATAATAATAAATAAAAAAACTACATGTAATGTATAAGTGTAAACTGAAAACAAAAAATTACGTATTTATTTTTATTAAAATTTCCTTAATTAACAATATTCACAGAAATATTTCAGCTCCTAATTGTTTAAGACATTTTTCAATCTGAGTTGTTAATATTCAAAGCTGAGTTTTTAAAATTCATTGTGCTGCGAAGACAAAATATTTTTTAGCTTGATTTTGAGTTATTCGGCAGGTTTCTAAATTACATTTTTTTTCTTTAATTTAGTTGGTTATTTTTCATATGCGCAAACACACTTTGGCATTAGTTTTAACACACCTACCTTCATCCTTACTTACACCTGAATTTAGACTGTCAAACTATCTCTAGAGATTGAGGAGCAGCTCTTATATAAAAATTGCTTTATAATTTTAGTGACTTTACATTTTCCTAATTAATACTAACTGTGCAAGCCTTCCAATATTTAGCCAATCCAAGTCTGTTCACTTTCACAAAAAATTGAGCTCTAATGCTGCTACATCTTTGATTTTAGTGAACTGCCTGTCTCACCTATGTATTATTATTTACTTTTATTTTTTCATCTATATTTAAAATTTTAATTTTGCTTTTTGATTTTTAGTAAGGTATCTTGATGTTTTATTTGTGTAAACTTTGAAACTTTATCAAATAAATCAATAGATTCATCCTTAATTATACCTGATACTGTAAGTTTCAATAAATTATACAAAATACAAAATCAAGTAATTGAAATTCTTTTTAAATCAAAAGCACCAATATTAATTAACTCAAACCCAGTTTATAAAATTTTAGAATGCTGACCATTAATATCAAAAGTAATTGTATAGAAAAAGTAGTAGGATTAAATAGTAACTGTGTTTTTTGCTGGAACCTGGGACTAGTATAAATCATAAATGGTATCTGTGGCTTGAGTTCTATAATTTTTTTTGGGATTAGTATTAAGTGGTGTGTTTGTTAATTAAGAATTGGTCTAAATTTTTTTGTTGATAGTATTGTTAATTAGTATTCAGTCTGTATTTTTTGTTGGTAGCATAGTTAATAAGGGTTCAGCTTGCATTTTTTTTCAAACTGTGATTAAATTCATACAAGTATTGATAAAAAAAAAAATGTAAAATGACATGTATTCTGGAAAAAAGTACATATTTATTGAAAGGAATGAAATATCAAATTTTTGGCCAATAGGTAAAACTTTTTTAAAAACTGTGAGCATACTAATACAAATAAGTATTAAAACTTTTCTTTATAATTTAAAAAATACAAATGAAAATACATAGTAAAAATAAAATAAATGATTGCATTAAATATATAATACTTAACAAATAAAATCTTTTTTTCAAAACTTAATTTCAGTATTTTAAAATCTTTTTTACAAAATTTTTTTCTTAAAAAACATTTATCTTTTCAGATCTTTTTTACAAAATTCTTTTTTACAAAAATAAATTTATTTTTTTAGACACTTCATAGTTTTATCCTTAAGATATTACACAATAATCCTTTAAATATGTTCTTAAAACTTTTTGTTTAACTTCAGAACATAAAAATTTGACCAAAAAATAACAGTTTTTATCAGCATCTTTGTAAGTGACTAATAAGAAACTAAAGAACTTTTTCTGTTTGTTTATTTAGTAATAAAAATCGATTTGTTATAAAAATTGAGTTTTATAAAATAAATATAATACTTAAATTTTTTAAGATTTCTAACGAGTACTTTGATATATATTTATGATTTATTTTACTTATATATTTTTTAAGTAAAATAAGGCTTTCTCGTGTTTAGCTAGTCACTAAGTTTACTATTTTATAAATTTATTCTTCCCTGTGATTAGCTCTAAAACCAAACAAAACATTTTGATTTTGATTTTGATTTTGAAAGACAATTTAAAATCCTGGTTATCAACTTTTTTGGTAGCTGTAAAAAAGATGATTTTCATTTCTTAAGAACTTATTTTCATTAGAAAAATTCTTTTAACTATTTCAAATAGCAAGTTTTAATAATTTTTTTATCTACATATATCATGCAAACTAGTTAAGAAATAAATCATAGCATATACCATGCTAAATAGTTAAAAAATATTTTGCAATATATCTTTAATTCTTAGAATAATTTTCATAATTTATTCACGTTTATTTAATGAAAATGTTTTTCTAAAATATAATCATTAAGAAACACAATCATTCAAACTTTTCTTTTTTCAATCAACGGATCTAAATATCTAAACCTAAAATTTTTATTGCTCAAAATGCATTTTGTGCCTCATTATCACTTATAAGATAAAAACTCTTCATTAAAAAAACCATCAAAAATATGTATTAATCATTATATAATTTATAAAAATTTTCATTTTTCCGTTTTATTACTAATTATTACTCTATTATTTTACAGTTATTTGATTTGCCTACTTTAGGTAAACTTATTTAAAAAATGAACAAAAATATTCATACCAAGTTCACTGCTTTGGGAATAAAGTTGTAGTTTGTCAATAAACTCTGGTTCTTTTATGGATAGTTTTTTCATCATGTCAATCATTACTTTTGAAAGGACACCTGCTAGACCATCTAACTCGCTTAAATATTCATTTAATACCTTGATGCTCTAAGTAAAATGAAAATTTAATTTAGCAAAAACTAATTAGTAAAAAAGTGCATACTCATAAAACAAGATTTATATGACTATTTATGAATATTTTCATTACATAAGATTATTTTACATTATCAAGTCAAACATTTAACATTATCTTACTTGAGGCAACCCATGCCACACATAATGGTTTTTTATGTCCAAGATATTACTCACTATTGAATTAATACCCTAAAACATTGGTAGTTGATTGTATTAAAAAAAGATTGTTAGGATAATATTAATTAGTAAGTTTAATTAATGATAGCAAAATTAATGCTAGTTAAAAAAGATCAATGATAGCTAATCGATTAAAGCATACAAATATTCAATAATAGCGTAAAAAATGATAACATACAAGTGATTAATGACAGCATAGAAATAATCAATGAGGCCATTAAATCAGGTAGACATAAGATAAGTAATTATAAAACAGATCGTATGTTTTTATAGAAATAGTTTTGAAAAGCATATGAAATACTTTGTTCTTTTTCTTTGTGCAAATTATTTTTTTAAATAGGGTGATAACTAGTTCTCACAAACATGTAATATTTAAATAGAGTGATAATTATTTCTCACAAACATGTAATATTTAAATAGGATGATAATTATTTCTCACAAACATGTAATATTTAAATTGGATAATTAGTTCTCACAAAGATGTAATATTTAAATAGGGTGATAATTAGTTCTCACAAACGTGTAATATTTAAATAGAGTGATAATTAGTTCTCACAAACAGGTAATATTTAAACAATATTTAAACTTTTTAACCTCATTAACTACATATGATAAAATCTGAGGTTATTTTATTGTTTTTATTTTAGTTTATTAGTTAAAGTTAAAACTTCTTTTTTAATTTTTTGTTAAATTTTTTTCTAAACATAAACATTTTTTCTTAATGTTTTTATAAAAAAATAAATTTTCTTAATTAATCACTGTTACAGAAACTCTCCTAGCAACAACTTTCAAACATCAAAAGAAAGTGAAAAAATTAAAAAAATTAGTTCATACAAATGTATGAACTAAAAATGTAAACATATTCTAGTATTATTTATTTTTTTAGGGGCATACAGGACTTACAAAGTTTTTTGAGAAAAAAATTTAGTTAAATTTAAATAAGATGAAATCTGTTCTTTAAAGACATGTTCTTTTATAATCCCATCTTTGGAGAGTCTTCAACGATGGCGGGCGTGTTTTTATAACAGAAAGATGAAGGAAAAAAAAAAAAAAGAAAAAAGAAATTTAAACAAAAATTTTAATAACTAAACAACAAATCTAATCAGTAAATAAAGTAAGAAATTTTAAAAAGAAAGAAATTAAAATTAACGAAAAAAGAAATAATAATAATAAAGTGTATATAAATTAAAAAAAAAGTCAAGAAAAATCCAAATAAAAAGGAGAGGTCCAAATAAAAAGGAGAAGGAGAGAGTTATGTCTTATAAACTTTAAAAAGAATAGACATAAAAAAAATTTGAAGTTTTAATCTCCTAAATTTAACTAAAAGAAAAGACAAAAAAAAAGAAAATAGAAAAGAAAAAGATAAGAAAAAGAAAAACAGAAGAAACCAACAAAAAAGCGGAAGAGAAGAAAGAAAATATCAAGTTTTAGAAGATATTTTTGTAGCTAGTCTTTGTTGTAATTATAATTTTTTTAATTTTATTTTAATTATTATTTGTATTAGATACTTATTTTATATTAAATTATTATTTATTCATTTTACTATTTCATAATATATACTTAAATCATTCTTTAACGTGGTATTTGTTATATTATTATCTTTTATTATTATAATAATTATTAATTAATATTATAATGTTACCATTAGTTATTTTTATTAAATATTATATTTGTTAAATAATACTATTTTGTGTATGCATTTCATTTTGTAGTTTTTGTGTTTCTCTTTTCGTTTGCGTAAAGTTTGTTATTATTTGTGCTAATTATTTTTATTGTTGATTCCTGTTTTTCTATTTTTTTTTTTTTTTTCTTTATTTCGCAAAAATAACTAAAGTTTATTTTTTAATTTTTTTTTTTTTTTGCAGAAGTGTTTGTGTTTGCCTTTCATTTTGTTGTTTTTGTGTTTTGCCTTTTCGTTTGTGTAAGGTTTGTTTTTTATTTGTTCTGTTTTGCTTATTATTTTTATTTTTGCTGTTGTTATTGAGTGTTTTCATATTTTTTGTCTTATTATTTAACTTATCGGTGTTTATCGTTATCGTTGTTTATCGTATTGCTTTATCGTTATTATTATTTTAATTATTTTCTTAGCGATTTTCGGTTCATATTTATTATTTTTATAATTATTTTATTATTATACTAATTATTATAACTAATTGGTGTCACTCATTTTGATTATGAATGACACTCATGTCATCATATTATTTGTATTATTATAGATAATATTATTTTTAATTATTATTGTTATAATTATTTGGTGTCACTCCTTTGATCAGGCTTCTGTTTGAGAGACACCTTCCTTTTTAAATAACTATTTATATTTATTCTTATTAGTTATATTTTATTATAATTATATTGTTTGTATTATTATAGATAATATTATTATTATTGTTATTATATGATTATATGTAAATTTTGAAAAAGGAAAATAAATATCTTGTTGTTGTTGTTGTTGTTGTTATAGAAAAAAAAATTTGAAAAAAAAAAAATTGAAATAATATTATTTTTATTTTTTTTACATTGAGAAAAGTATTTAGGTCAATTAAGCTTTTTTCTTTAAGTTGAATGGCAGCTTCAAAATGATTGGCAGCTTTAAGTGAAACTGCAGACAGTATTTTCCTTATTTCAAGTATATCTCCACCATAAAGAACATTGACTTCTGGAATTGTCTCTTTTAACAAAGAAACCATAATTGTATTTGTAATAACCCAAAATACAGTAGTATTTTTTTCAGTGTTAAACATCACCTTCATCTAAAAAATAATTTATCATCAAAAGAATAGTTTCTTTATTATTAACTATAATAAAACTAAATATGATTATTAATGTATAAAAGAATATTATAATAGATATAATAATAAAAGAATATTATAATAGACATAATAAAAAAATAATATTTTAATAGAAATAATAATAAAACAATATTATAATAGAAATAATAAAAAAATTTAAAATATGTAAAAGAATATTATAACAGGTATAATAAAAAATTTTACTCTTTGGTGTATTTGTGACAAAGATTTCTTTACACACTGAGAAAGATCAGGTTGATTCCATGATCCATCTTCATTGCAATAACGAGCTGCAAAACCTTACAATTTAACAAAAAAAATTCAACTTTTTGCCAAATTCATCATGTTAAAATAAAAAAAAAATTAAACTTACCATGATTACAATCCTTCGGACAATAATCTAGAATGGTTTGACCGCCAACAGTCTCTGGCCATGAAATACCTTGTTCAAAACTTTTTTTGCAATAACTTGTAATGTTGTATAAGTTAGTGTTTACTAAAATAAAGTAATAATATACACAGTCATTAAAAAAAAGCTGATGAATCTTTTATTGCTACAATGACAAAAAAATTATAAGTGTGTGTGCTTTAGAGAAATGTTGTATGAGTGGTATTTTTTGAAAATGAGTGGTCTTGTTTCGAAACTAGTGGTTGTTTTTTTTTGGAAAAAGTGATTGCTTTATTTCGGAATAAGTGGATTTTTTTGGAACAAAAGGTTTTGGAACAAACTTTTTTTTTATATTGTGAAATGAGTGGTATTTACATAATATAGTATAGTATTTTCACTATTTTACCAAAACTGGCAACTAAATTGCAATAAAATTATCCTGATGTTTTTCAAAATATAATAAAATTTCAACTCTTTCATTAAGCCCTCTTTCCTCTTATGTTTATTTAACACATTAAGGGTTTTGAATATCAGGCAGTGATCCTTAAGATTAAAGCAAAAGAAATTAAGTTGACTTCACTTAAAAGATTGGAAAGCTCAAACAATTTTTGATCAATCAAAAAAGCTCAAACAATCAATTAAATTGAAAGCTCAAACAATCAATGAGGACTTCATGATGCCTTAGAATAGTTTAACTCATGGGGATCAATTATGATTGTTGCTGACACAACAAGCATGAATACTAGAAAGAAAAAAGACATTTGGTTAATTTCAATAAAATATTTGGTTCAACTGCACTCAACTTGTTTCTCCACGCAGTGGCCTTGTTTAACTGATAAACAAGACCTGATAATTAGGTTTGTGTTCCCGAGTTACAGAGTTGAGAGAGGGTTGCAACCACAACTAAAAATATCCTCCTTGACTGAAGTGGCCTTCATGGCCTTGGGGAAGTGAATTGTTACTAAAAGAAATGAAAACTGTTTGTTTAGTTGCGCAGAAGCCAATTATTGCTAAATAAACCTAAACTAAATTATAAAAAAAGAAATTGCTATACTAAAGATAATTTTAAAATATACATGCAAAACTTCATTAAATATGAATGTCTCAGAAGATGTATTTTTACTTCATTAAGTATTTACCATGTCTCAATAGAAGTATATACTTTACGACAAGTTAACTTCAACTTAACTTTTTATTTGTGTGTACCTTCCAGTTAAATGAGCTTAATTGTTTAATGGTTAAACCAAGTTTGATAACTTTTTAAACTGTTTACCTTGACATGACTTTTGATCTGATTTTAGTATAAATCCTTTGCTGCATGAACAAGAATATCCTCCTACATGATTGTTACATTCTTGCTGACAACCACCATTTAATATCAAACACTCATTTGAATCTTAAAGTAAAAGCTATTTATAATATAATATATAGTGGCAATATATACAATGTACCAACAATTATAATATAACATATATATTTATAATGTATATTGTACTTAAGAAGAATTTTCAAGTAATAAAATAAATTTTGGTTATTAACTAGAAAAAAAAAGAAAAAAGAAAAATATCTTTTTAACATCTATAGATATTTCTTTTACTTTTTTTATGTACTTTTTTACTTGATAATAACAGGAAAATATAGCTATTAAATAAATAATACAACTTTGTGTAAAACAACTTTAAAATAATGATCTTATCTAATTTTTAACAACTACTGCTCAAAAGAACAACTATTGTTTAGAAAAAATTTGTGCTTTGTATCTTTTAAAAAGATATGAAGATAAAAAAAATCAAAAAACCAAAACACCATGAAATATTTAAATTATATATAAAATTTGTGTGAAGTTCCAGTATGAGGATATCCTGATAAAGAATATCAGAATATAGATTATCCTAATACTTTATGTAAAAGTATGTTTTACTATTGTTGTTTTTATTTTTATCTTATTTTTTGCACTTTTATTTGTAGTTTTTATTTTTCATTTTTGTTATTAGGAAACACATTGCCAAATCGTGGTCACACAGTAGAACTTTGTGGTCACACAGCAGAAATTTATAATCAAACAACAATAATTTTAAGTAACAATGTATAAGCAGTTTTGTTACTAATAAAAATACTGTATTACATTAAAAACTGGAAAAATTTATCAAAAATATTACCTAAACAAATATATCCATCTCCTTCGAACCCTTCATGACATACACAGCTTTGCTTTATATCAGTAGAATTAACACAATACCCATTAGAAGAGCAGCCTGGATTACAAGCACCTTAATAGTAAATTGTACTTATATATATATATATATATATATATATATATATATATATATATATATATATATATACATACTTATTAAAAGATTGTCACTTCTTTTTCCATTTTGATATTTTGGGGCTTAAAAAACAAAAAAAAAAATGGTCCACAAATTTCATTTTTATTTGTTTTGTCATCAATTTATTCACGTAGTTCTGTAATAACGCTCTTCTTTTGAGGTGAGGATGATAGTGTTGTGCGTTTAAGTCCTGTTATTACATGTACTCTCATGAAAATAATGTTCTCATCACATCATCACTTACATTATTTGTACGCTTGTACAAATAATGTTATGTACAAAGAAAAAATTTCAAATCCCATAATTTTTCTCAAGATTGATATAGTGGTGTAGTCTTGTTGATTTAAGGTCCAATTTTGAGGCACAGCTGGTAGGGTTGCATTCATTGATTATGATAAAAAAAATATGTTAGCATTATATTGCTGTTTATAAAAACCAGGATGTGTTGGTGCAATACTTTTTTTTTCATTATAAAAAAAAAAAATTTACTTTCAACTAGGTTGCAACCAACCAGCTGAAAGTTACTAGGAAAAAAAAGATGAAATCTATAAAGCAAGATAATGATTAGGGCTGGTTATGGGTTGGGTCTAGATCCAGACCCAGCATGACTCAACCTGTTAAGTTCAGGTTTAGGTCTCATTTTTCTGATCCAAAACCCACCAAATCCAGACCTGTAAGAACCTTTAACCAAACGAGTTGGGTATTAATCTTATTATGTCCAGACCTTTTATACCTAGATCTGACTAACATTTTCTTAACTAATATGTTTTCGTTATTATAATTTCCTTATATACTTTTTTCATTATATCTTATTAATATTCAAAAAGGTTCATAAACCAGGTTATAAAACCTGATATTATGCACTCTTTTAAAAAAGATTTTTTCAAGAAAAAGACTTTTCAAGCTAAATTAAAATTGGAGTTAGGAGTTTTTGGATTCTTTAACAAGTATAAAATAAGTTTTATCAAAAAGTCTTAAAATTTTGAACTAAATTAAAATTCAATTTGGGAATAACAAATAAAACAAGTAAAAAACAGGTTTTATCTAGCGTTTTTTGTGAAGAGAATTCTAACATTGTAAGTTTTTTATTTAATAGATTGCTTTTTGTTTTATTAATTCACAAAGAGACATATCACAAAAATTCACATTTAATGATGAGTTTTGAAAAAAAATATAAACTTGATTGTTTAAAAAAAGTCAGCTCGCCAAAAATTTTCTCATAAAAGCCTTATTTTTAGTTTCAAAAATTTCATTACAACAAAGAAAAATACTAAAGAAGTAAGTCAGGGTTGATTATTTATTATTAGCATTTTATGTTTTTATTATTTATTTTATTGATTTGCATTTTAAAAATGTACAAAATTCAAAATATAGAGACAGATTGTTAATAAATTACTATTATGTGAATCCAGGAGTATGTGTGAAAAAAACAAGTTAATAAACTACACAGCAACAAGTTAACAAACTACACAGCAACAAGTTAACAAACTGCACAACAACAAGTTAACAAACTGCACAACAACAAGTTAACAAACTACACAACAATAAGTTAACAAACTACACAACAACAAGTTAACAAACTACACAACAACAAGTTAACAAATTACACAGCAACAAGTTAACAAACTACGCAGCAACAAGTTAACAAACCACACAGCAACAAGTTAACAAACTACACAACTACAAGTTAACAAACTACACAACAACAAGTTAACAAACTACACAACAACAAGTTAACAAACTACACAACAACAAGTTAATAAACTACAGAACAACAAGTTAACAAAATACACAACAACAAGTTAACAAACTACACAACAACAAGTTAACAAACTACACAACAACAAGTTAACAAACTACACAACAACAAATTAACAAACTACACAACAACAAGTTAATAAACTACACAACAAGTTAACAAACTAAACAGCAACAAGTTAACAAACTACACAACAACGTTGTTATCAAACTTATTTAAGCTTTAATCTTTTAAAAGGTGAGAGCTCCAAACTGGACTATAAGATTCTAGTACAGGCCACACATAGACTTTGTAGGCTTTTAACAAAAGTTGAGAACTGTTAGTGACAAAGGATTTTAAAAGTAGGTGAATATGGGAGTTTACTATATTTGAAACACAAGAGCAATGATTAGGGAATTTCGAGTCAAAAGACATGATGATTCCAATATCCTGAATTAAATAAAAAGTTTCAATATTGGTAACGGAATTTTAATGAATAAGAATGAATAAGCAAAAAAATTTATATTATAAATGAAAACATTTTTAGCATCGCATTTGTGGTCATTAAAAATTTGAAAAAAATTGAAAGGGGAAAGGAAATTGTAGTTGCAATTGATTTTAAAAATATGGCAGGGTAACCATCTAGAGATTTGAAAAATGTTGCTGTGAGATTTTATGATTTTTGCATGAAACAACAGAAGCATTGGGAAATAATATGTTACATAAGGAGTTTTGTTGGAGTAAAATATTTAACACTACTATCTGTGACAAAGAAATTATTTTAAAAAAATGCAAAAATATGCATCAAAGACTAGACTGAGCTGTCAAGTCTAAGTGAAATAAGGAAAAAATTAGAAACAGAGAAAGGATAAAAAAATAAAAATGTATTATGAACAGATATTCAGAGCAAAACAAAGATACTGAAGTAAAGTTATATTAAAAATAATAATGATTATATAAACATCGCGCATGTAATAGAAATAATAAACTCAGATTCTAAGTGGAAAATCATAACCAACGAGCAAGGTATAAAAAAACGAAGTAAAAATACTAGAATTCAATAGTTACCAGGTCGACACTCTAACCGATAAAGCTATAAATGCTCACATATAAACAAGATAATAAACGTAATAAAATAATAAAATAAACAATAAAATTAAATGACAATAAATAATATACATACAATAAGAATTATCCAATTGCAATTAAGTAGTGGACTAATGTAGATAATGTTCATTGGGAAATATATTACACAAGGAACTTTGCTGGAATAGAATATCTAACACTACTATCTGTAACAAAGAAATTAAACTTCTTTTAGTCATTTTAAAAATATATTTATATATGTTTAGATACTTAAAAACATATTTATAATAGATTAATAACTTCTAAAGTTTTAAATATTTTATGCTCTACATTTATCAGGTAACTCAATACAATACTATGCAATCTGTACAATTTCTACCAATATGATCTGTACATAACAATTATATATAAATATATAAACATATGAATATAAGTTTTCAAAAGTTTATTAAAATACAAATAAAAAAATCATATTTTTATTCATATATATTGTTATATAAATTAAATATGTTATTGGTAGTTCACTTATCATTGTAAAAATGTTATTTTGTTTTAAGCTTTTAAAAATTAATTCAACCCATAACTTTATATTTGACTTAATTAACCAGATAAGATAAAAAAGTAATAATAAAATTCTTGTAAATGTCATTAAAAGATCTTTTCATAAAACAATGGTTGTTTTTTTTAAAAGTAAATCTTGATCTATAACTACATTCAAGATAGCTGCTTAAATGAGATTTTTTTTATATTCATAAGTACAACCTTCATTTTGTTTTGTTTTACAAAACCAAGTTCAGTCTTGTTTAAGAGGCTGAACTCCTCTCAAATTAAAATTTCTGTTAGTCAAACTTCTGGATCAAAATACATGATTCTTTCATAATTAAAATTTTAATACTAGTCATTATAATTATTTATTAAAAATGATTAGCAATATAACAATAAGCAACAAATTTTTAAAAAATATTACGTTGTAGAGAAACAAAAAAAATATTAGAAATAGGAAAATTTTACCTAATTTGTTAAGTTTAATGGAACTTGGATCAATTTTTAAGTGACCAATCATTCCTCTCTTAGATGCAGTTTCTAACTTATCAATAGAATTTTTAACATCAGAAATGAACTCTACAATTATAGATGCACGTATGCTGCCATATCTATTATTAAACAGTTATAATCATTAATTGATAAGCAAATGAAATGATTACCAAGCTTACAGGTATTAGTGTGGTAAATTGCTCATTTTGCAAGTGATTAGTATGGAGTACAAACCTCTCTATGGTTAAAAACTGATTAAAAACTGCAGAAAAACTTCTACAGTTTGTTTTAAAGCTTTCCTGGTAAGTTAAAAACAGATCAAACAGGTAGTAGGAAAAAAAATTAAATTAGCAATTTTTTTAAATGTATATTTATTATTTTTATAAATATTATAATGATATTTATAAAAATATTATAATTATACAATATAATGAAGAAAAATAATACTTTAATCTATGAACACGAGACGTCATGTAATTAAGATCACTTTTGTAAACTTCTGCTATCTAAAAAAATTATAAGAACTTTGCTAAATTACCTTCAAGCTGCAATATATTCTAATAAAATATTAAATAAAACTTGTTTTTTATAAAAAATTATGATTCTTGTGCAGCTATTTTTGTACTACATTTTTGTGTGTGTATATATATATATACATATATATATATATATATATATATATATATATATATATATATATATATATATATATATATATATATATATATATATATATATATATATATATATATATATATATATATATATATATTATATATATATATATATATATACATTATATATATATATATATATATATATATATATATATATATATATATATATATATATATATATATATATATATATATATATATATATATATATATATATATATATATATATATATATATATATATATATATATATATATATATATATATATATATATATATATATATACATTATATATATATATATTATATATATATATATATATATATATATATATATATATATATATATATATATATATATATATATATATATATATATATATATATATATATATATATATATATATAAATTTATCACATATTTTACATAGAATATAAATTTATCACGTATTGTATGTTTTAAAAAAATACATTTTTGTTAACTATAGAAACCTTTACCTCAGAGAAAGGTTTAAAACTTTTTTATCTTGTTGTCATTAACTATTAATGTGGTGTAAAGAACATTTTTAGGACTTAAACATAATGCAACATTTTTAATGTTTTAACTTACAATTTACAATAACATCATTAAAAGACTATTTATTGTGAACATTGAAAACTTGTCTTGTTATTCAAGTTTAAGCTGGAGTATAAAACTAAACAACAAAACAATTTTTTTAAAGCTTAGTTTGTTTTTTCTAGCATATAAATAGAGGATGCAGATAACTAGAGATAAATACCTTGCATGGTTGAGCAGTCTGATTATATAAGCAGCCTACTTTTTAAAAACTTTTCAGGAGCCAATTCCATTACAATATTCAAATAATAGTCTTTGCTCACAACTATGATCAATTAGCATTTCTCTAAGAATACAACCATCTACTTTTGGAACTTCAAAATGCTCAAACAAAGCTTTTTTTGTATCATGAATATTTTTGGCACATTTTCTGCCAAGTAGTTGCCTAATGCTTTTTAGCCCAGTTGTGTCATCATCAAACTTTGTAAAAACTGCTCTTAACAAAAGTTTGTTTTGATGTAGTGCGCATCCAATAAGGTGTAGTACTCTTTTTAAATACTCTTCTAATTTTATCATGATTTGTGATTCCAGAAGTAAAAAAATCATCTAACTATACCAATAAGTGATTAATTGTTCCAGTATTAGTAGCAGTATTATCATGAAGAACAACCTTTTTAACTTTTTACTCTGTTAAGCCATTTTAAAACACTGAACAACTAATTAACAAGAAATAAACCTGTAGCACCAGTAGGAGGGAATGATAATATAAATCAAATAATTTCCAGTCAAATAATTTCCATCTTAATAAATAATGTTAAATCATCTTCAGGTTTAATCCAATTTGTTTCCCTGAGGTGAGTTTATTATATTACTTGTTCAATCTGATTGAATTTTTTATTTAAAGTCCACAGACTTTGTTATCCAAAGTCCACAGACTTTGTTATCCAAAGTCCACATATCTTCATTAACAATTTTTACTCTTGATGTGGCATTATCTAATTTACATATGTCAATCAAAACGCAATTGATATCAACCTCATTTTTCAAGAGATGTTTAAGTTCTTGTAGTAAAGTATTTGCAAGACCTGCATACATATTGATAAACACAACAACAAAATGAATTTATGAAGTAGATTAAAATAACTTATACTTTAAAATTAATAAAATTAATTTCACCTCTTCACATGTCGAAAAAGACACTGTCCAACACTAGTCTGGTATAAATCATCAACAATTGGTCATTTCTTCAAATGATTTTTTTAAAATCATTTGAAAGAAAAATTTTATGAATGCGGCTTTTATAATTTTCTTTTATTTTTTATTTTAAACTTTGACAATTCAGTTTGAAATTTGGGATGTGTGGAAGTCTTTTATTGATTATCTATTTATATTTTATTGGTTCATTTAGATAAAATAAATGAAGGAAAATGAAATTGTTAAAAAAGAATTCCTTATTTTAAACCTTGCTTCATATCCAACATATATGTATAAATATAAAATGTTCCTAATAAGTAAGTTTTCTGACTTTCTTAAGATTGTTATCAATTTGTATTGATAAAAATCTATAAACAAAATAAAATCAATTATACAATACCAATTAATAATTTCTTAACCTAACAGGTGAAATAGTTCGAATTCTTAATTAAAAGCTATCCGAGAGCTAATGGATGATGGATAAAATGATTTACATGTATCTGATGGTTAATTCACATTTCTCTTTTTTTTATATATATTGCTAATAGTTGTTTCATATATCTCTGATGGCTGATGTCTGACAGCTGTTTCACTTAAGTTTAGTGTAAAAACATCGTAATTTAATATTATGAAAAAATATTTACAATTGTTTGTTTCTTCCTAATTATATCAATTAATCCTCAGCTAAAATTATAACCTGATGCTGAATATAATCTGATGTTTTATTAAACTTCAAAGATGATTTATCATACAGATCAACATTCCAATCAAGATTCAAGATTGACACAATGATTAAGTACATGGATAATAAATCTAAAAAGAATCTTTAAATAAATACAAACCAATATATATATATATATATATATATATATATATATATATATATATATATATATATATATATATATATATATATATATATATATATATATATATATATATATATATATATATATATATTAAAAAAATTAATCAATTTTTTACTTGATTATACTTTTATTAAATTTGATTTAATTAGGCAAATAAAATAGTTTTTTCTTTGGGTTTTAAAAAAATTTAAACAAATTTGTGAAAGTTTAAATCTAAACAAAACAAATAAAAATTCTTTTAAAAAGTTCTCAGCAGAATCTAAATAATTTATAAGTATAATTATATTGCGTTAATAATTTATTTTAATAAGTGTTTTTAAAGGCTTAAAATTATTTCAAGCTTTGAATTTCAAATTTCAACTGTTTAATTGTAACTTACTACAACTGTTTAATTGTAAAGATAGTGAATAGGTGATTAAAATCATTTAAGTTTATTAAAATCATGTCTGGTAAGCAGATGATTTTTTTAATTGAAAATAATTTTTAAAAATACATAAAAAAATCTCATTGATTTAAAGCAAAATTTAAGAGATTTTAACAAAACTAACAACTTGTAGAAAAATATAATAACTTTATTATAAAAATGTGTTAAATTTTTTTCTTAATAATTAGAAACTTAATCATGCAGATTATAATTAACATTGGTTATTAAAAGATTTTCATTATTTATATTTTATCTTAATAATTACCATTATATTAACTATTCAATAATATAATTATAATAATGATAATATAATAATAATAATATTAATTATCATAATATTAAATACATTATATTAATTAATTATTATTGTAAACAAATTATTTTATTTATCATATTACTTCGTTATTAATGTAAACAAATTATTAATTTATTCATTTTTGTAATTAATTGTCAATAAAAAAATACTATGAAGTAAAAAAAAAACATTTTAATTAAAAACTGTTGTAAAAAAAAAAAGATTATGTTTAAAAAGTTATTAAAAAGATAATATCATATTTTTGAATAACTTTTAATGATTTATTATCATTATTTTTTTTTTAACAAACTTTTATATATATATCTAGGGTTCAGGGGAACCTCAGTCACATATTAACAATTATTAAGTTATTATCCCTACTTATCCCTACTATATTTTAGGGAAGTTGATCCATCTTTAAAAAGAAGGATAACAAAAAAAAAAAGTAAGTTCACATCTAAATTTTTAAGTAAAAAAAAAGGGGTCACAAGGAGTAAACTAGATATGTTGAAATTGTTCAAGGGGTAAATTGGAGATGTCTAAAATTCTTCACGCTGTATAGGAGCACTTTTTTTTAACTATTTGAATTACACCCAATAAAATTTCATTTTAACAAAAAAAGTTGATCATCATAAAAATAGCAGATAAATGTCAAAATCCAGATACAGCAGAAATTCAAAAAAAAAAAGAAAAAAGTTTTTTTTTTTTTTAATTTATTTGAATTACATCCAACCTATTTGAATTACACCCAATAAAATTTTAACAAAAAAATTTTATCATCTTAAAAATAGCGGATAAATGCCAAAATCTAGATAACACAGAAATTCAACAAAAAAAAAAGAAAGAAATTTGTTCAAAAGTGGGAACAAGATAGAATTATCTTTGTATATAATGGGCTTTCCACATAATTGCAGGCGTTATATGTTTTTTCAGAAAACAGTAGAAAAGTGGAAGATTTTACTTTTGTACCTTAACAACAATTTTTGAAATAAGAAAATAGTAAGTAACAGAAATATGCAAAATAAAGATCAACAAGACAACATTCTTGCTTCAATGATTGGTGTTTTAACTGTTAAACAAAGAAGGCCTCAACAAAAAGAAGAAAAAAAAATTCTTCATGACCACTCATTCTCTCATAACAACAAAGTGGCATAACACTCATTCTCTTATAACAACAAAGGAAAGGCTAGTAAGTAAACAGAAAAAAAATTTTTTTTTTTAATTATTAATTCGTCATTCAAATAAAATACATAATGCATGAATGTGTTTTAACCAAATTTCTCTCTTAAAAATAACACAAAATAAAGATTTTATGTAAGTTAATAGTTTGGTTTAGTTAAGTTAATAAAACATTATAAAGCATAAGTACATTTGATTATTTTTAAGGAGTTTCTCCTCAACACAAGCAAGGAAACATAGACCTTTTGCCTTTTCAGACCATATTGTCAATAATATTATTGATCATATCAAGTCTTTTAAAGGACGAAAAAGTCATTATGCATTACATGACACTAAAAAGCTGAATTTACCAGAGGATTTTAACTTATTATATAACTTGTACAAGAAGTGTTTCCCACAAAATAAAATTTGTCAATAAGTTACAGGTACTTCAATAATGTGTGATTATTTAAGAATATTATTGGACATTATCTAATTTTCTGTTGTTTTTTTGTATCAGAAAAATATTTGTAGAAAAATTTAACATTCGCATTAGTCATAAAGATGCATGCTCAATATGTGACAAATGTTATACTTAGACTTTTTATTTCTCTGTAGAACAACTCATCAAAATTTATCAAAAAAAAAGAACTTTAATTGTGGTGTTTTGTGTCATGAATGTCAGAGGCATGTTGTAGTATCTGGGCATGCAACTCTTGCATATAAATGGGCATGCAGCTCTTGCATTTGTCTTTTAATATTTGTTTAAAGTATGAGTTTTCTTAATGTTTCTACAAACAAAAGATTTATTATTGTAGACAGCTTATTATTTACACATTTAATATACACGGCTTAGGATCAAATAGTGCTCACTTATTTTTTATTACAAAACTCGTGGTATTTAGGGAGCAGACAATGTAGCATACTGGAACACTATTTTGACTACATTTGATCTGAAGATGTATCACATTTGCAGATTTTTTGTGATTTGTGTGCTGGGCAATATTAAAATTAGACTATTATTCATTTTTTACACTTTCCCTATATGGGGCCATAGCTACATGGAGTGTGATCGTGATATGGTACTAGTTACCCAGAAGGTTCGAGCAGAACTACCAATAAATTGGATGGAAAAATTTTTTATGTATTTTAAGAAACATTCACCTTTTGAAGTAATTAAGATGGAGCTGAAAATATTCATAAATTTTTTTGAACACATCAAACCATTTTACAAAGCCAAATGTCTGATACCAAAACGCCTTATTCATGAAGTTATTTTCTTTTAAGAATTCCCTACTATGTTACAATACAGACTCGGTTGGAATGGAGCTTTAGAAAGAACTGTCATATCAAAAGCTTTTTGAAAAAAGAAGCGATTGCCTATCAGCTCTGCAAAATATGCTGACCTACGAGCTTAAAATATTTTTGCATGCCTGAGGTCCCGCATTTTTTTAATGATCTGCCTAACAAAGGTCAGTTAAGCGATAATAAATCAGTGTCAGAGGTATCTAAATTGGAGTTTATTTAACTTAAAAAACAGATATTGATTAAGGAATAAAGGAAACTGATTTTGAATTCTTGGTCAATACTGTTTTTACATATAGTTTTTTACAATAAAAAAAAATGTATAAGAAAATATTACAGAGCTTAGAAATGTAAACCTCAAAACCTTGATTTCTTTATCTCATATGTACTTTTCTTTTTTATTTTAAGCTGAATTTTTTTTTTTTTTTTTTTGTTAACTTAATGCGTCAAAGATTAAAAAGGGTGGTGGAAAGTTTGTTGAAATAATAACTAACAAATTGAAATAAATAAATTTTAATTTTTTAAGCATTTTACGGAAAAGCTTATAAAATAACTTATTGGTGGTATGTGATGTAAATCTAAAGCGAAGGGGTTACTTTGTTTTTTTTTTGCACATGCCCTGACAGTGTTTATTATTCAAAGTTGGAAAATTTTAAAATTTAACACAACAGAAATCTATCTATATATACTATAAGCAACATGTTGAACATTTTTTTGGTTTATAAATCAAAATCTGGAATTAGAAGGGGAAAACCAGTGATGTACAAAAGGAACACTCCATCTAGGATTCAACTGCTGCATATATACTCCTAAAAATATTTTCACGCTAATTAATAATGTAATAGATCATACTAATTTACCAACCTAAAATATATATATGAAACTGGAACAGTTAGATAAGTCTTCAAACGCCATCTTTTTTTTTTTATGAAAAAAAAGTGACATCACTGGTTTTCCTTTGCACCCTTCATGTATATAGTATAATTATTTGTATTAAAAAAAGGTTCTAAAAAAAAGCTAGGACCCCCTTTTTTTTGAACAACTCTATTACCTCTACAATAAACTCCATCTCCAACTGTTCCTTCTTTGCAACCACATGCATAAGAACCATTGGTATTTATACAAAAACCTTTCTCTTTGTCACAAATATTTTTATCAAGAATACATTCATCTGTATCTATGAATAAAATTAAAAACTCTTTTTGAAAATAACTCAAACAATTAACAAAAAAAAGTGGTTGTTGTAATAAATGATTTTATTGTTAATTAATATCAAATAAATTAATGCATTTGAGTTCTGAAATACTTTTAGGCATTCGCGATTTACAAAATATTAGAGAAAAAAGTTATTTTAACTTTATTTATCAAAAACTTTTTAACTAGTGGAAGACTTACTTAAGATGCAGACTAAATAACTAAAGAATTACAGCTAAAATAGTAAAAAACATATTTAATATAGGAAAAAAAATCTTGAGTAATATACTCGAGAGTTTTTTATTTATCTAGAAATTTTTGACAAATTGTTGCCATAATGCAGTCAGAAGAAATTGAACTATAAAAAATCTTTAAAAAAAAATACATATTTAAACAAAATGGAACATATTTTTAAATAATAAAATTTAAAATAAACAAAAAATAATAAAAATCAAAAAACAAAGCTTGTATACAAATTTTGCTTAATAATCTATTTTAACAATCATAAATAAAATGTTAGGATAAACAAGAAAATCTTCTCTTAACTATTAATGAATTAAATGAAATATGGAAAAAAAAATCTTGAGTAGACCCAAGACATTTTTATTTATCTAGAAATTTGTAACAAATGATAAATTTGTCATAATGCTGTCAATACTTTAAAAGTAAATTAATTAAATCTGTTAAGTCATCTATCTACCAATATGAAACTTCAGATCATTGTATTTATTAATGCTAAATTTCATGAACTTAAGTCTTGACCAAGTTCATAAAATGTCCTTCTGAACATACGCCACGTTCATAACTAATTTTGATTTAGCAACTGTCTGTCATTAGCCAATAGTTTGCAAACAAGAGGTTTGAAGAGAACTCCATCATTTTAACATTTAAATAAAGTTGTCTCTAATGGCTGAACTCATGCTTTACTTTAACGAATTTATGCTTAGAAAGACACTGTTCTGAACAATAGATTTCTTAATAAACTATACAACTTTTCTTAAACTCTCTAGCAGAATATGAAAATCTGCCTTTTCCTGTTTGATTACATCCTATCATAGAAATTGTCAATTTCATCAATCTCACAGCTATCAAAGAGAACTAGAAAAAATAAAAGTTTTTGGAGTATGTAGGGACAGATACAGTAAAAGAATGAGACTTTACTGAATGACGAGTCAAGCAAGATTCAGTTTTAATTAATGAAGCTGTTCTATGCAATCGAAAAGAGAAGACTTTTTGTCAAGATAGGAATATAAAGTTGAGTCATTAGCAAAAAGATGTACTTTATATGTAAGGTTGTCAGGAAGATCATTGATGTAGATAAGAAACAAAACAGGTCCAAGGATAGAACCATGAGGTACCCTAGAAGTTATTGAAAATAAAGAAGAGTGTTGGCCTTCAAGGGTGACTTTAATAAAGCAATTACAAAGAAATAATTTGATAATTTCAAAAAGTTTCCCAGATACACCATATAAAACAAGCTTATGGAGAAGAATTGCATGCTAAACTTGGTCAAAAGCTTTAGATATTTCAAGAGTAATAGTCCTAGCCTCTCTGCCTCCCTGCATAATAAAATCTTTCAGCCACAGCAGTTAGCAAGTCAGAGCGAGAAGATTGAAAACCGTATTGAATGTCTGATTTGATTCAAGATGGAATGTGAGAAATTTGTTGACTCAAAGACCTTGCTAATAACAGAAAGAAGACTGATCAGATGATAATTGGAGAGGTCAGAATGTTCACCAGAAATTTTAAAAATTAGAAACAACAGATTGTTTCTAATTTTCAAAGGAGGAAGGAAACCAAGACTCAGTCAAGCTTTTATTCAATAGTTTTGAGAGAATTAAAGAGAGTTCTGGAGAACAATTTTGTAAGACTATGACAGGAATGTTTTGCAGACCACAAGCCGTAGAAGAGTTTAATCAAGATATGACTTTAGCAACAGAAGCTAGAGTGATTTTAATGTTTAACAATGGGTTAAGGAGTTCATGTTGTTCCATTGCCTCAAACACGTTAAAAGTTAAACAATAATACAGACAAGACTGATTTTCAATATCATTTCGCATCACTGCAATGAAGATTCAAACTAAATAAATATCTTTCCCTTACAGTGGTATATTCATCATAGCTTATGCTGTATTTTACTCCATTTTTGAGTTTTTCTTGAATGTTAGAAATTATTGTAGTTTTTTTATTGTAATGATTGTAAATTAATTTCATTTCATAACATTCTGTAACTAAAAGTTTCTATCCATCTCAAGGTACTAACTACTTAATATAATTATTTAATTGCTCTTATAGATATTCCACAGAATGCAAGACCTGTGATAATTTCTTTAAGGCTTTTTCTGTCAAGAAAACCTTCAATTGTCTTTAATTTTTCATTTGCCGGCTTTTCCTTTGATGTGTTTTGTACAAATTTATTGACATCAATGCCATGCATTGATGTCAATAAATTTGTACAAAATTTTATAACTTTATGCACAATGTAAACAGTGCAATAAAGTTATAAAGTGCTTAGCCAACTCTTCAATGACAGATGTTTCTGTCATTGTAGAGTTGGCTAAGCACTTTATAACTTTATTGCACTGTTTACATTGTGTCTCAAAAAATTTTAGCACAAACATTTTTGCAACTAAAATATTTGAAAACTTTTTATTAAAAATTAAATCTAAATAAACTAAAAATTTTTATAATTTTAAAAATTCAAACTAAAAGTCAAACTAATGAGTACACAGTAAAAATAATTTTTAAGCGAACTAGTATTTTTTTATTTTTCATTTTTTTTTCTTATTAATATTACTAATATTAGTATCAACTTTATAAATATAAATTTTATATAAACATGGTTATTGTTTAAGAAATTACCTTCACATTTAAACCCATCTCCATGGAAACCACTTGTACAATTGCATTTGAATGAACCAATTGTGTTTATGCAATTAGCCATGCTGTGACAGTTGTCTTCACCTTCCTCACATTCATTCACATCTTAAATATAAGAAAATTTTATTGCACAATCTATCTTAAACTTAATAAAAATATTAATTTTAGTATACACATATTTTAAATTTAATAAAAAAACAAAAAAAAAGGACCACTTACCAACACAAACAAAACCATCACCTATAAAGCCATCAATACATTTACATTGAAAAGAGCCATGTGTATTTATACATGTGGCATGTTTACTACAAATGTTGAGATCTTTTATTGCACATTCATTTACATCTAATGCAAAGATATACATACTTAATATTGGTATTTTTAAAAACTACTCATGTTAATTTTTGATATTTATTTAAGTTAGTTTTATCTGTAAAAAATTCTATAAAATTGAAGAAATTTATTATTTAATAAATTTAATAATATTATTATTTGTTAACAATACCCTGTTAACTTTATTTAACTATTTGTAAGCTTTGATTATCTAACTAAAAAAAAACTAGACGGAACAGTTGGAACTGGGTGGAATAACATTTCTTTTTTCAATTTCATTTTCATTTTTTTTTTCTTTAACCTGAAGGGACTTGCTGCTTGATATCTTTATCAAAAGAAAAATTTTATTCAACTAAAATGAAACTTTTACATCTTTACAAATCTTTACACAATTCTTATAAGATAAAAAAAATAAAATAAAATAAAAGTGGCATATTAAAAAATAAATTTAAATTTATGACATCTGGTTTTATTTTTCTATATCTCAGTAACCTATTAGTTTTCAGTCATACTGGATGCTTACAGCATTCAACAGTTTAATTCACGTAAAAAAAAAAATATTTATATTCTATAACATTTTAACTAAACAAGCATTGAATACCTGCACATGTTTGTCCATTTCCTTCATAACCTGCTTTGCAAACACAGGAATATGATGCATACTGTTCAATACAAATAGCATCAGAATGACATTTGTTATAGGTGGAACATTCTAATATATCTGAAAAAAAAATGTTGGAAATTATTTTTTCCATCTTTTCTTTTTTTTTCAAAGATGTAAATTTGAAAAAGAGATAAATGTATTTAAAAAAAGAAAAATAATAATATCTACTTATATGTAAAGCAATTTTTTTGATTTTATACAAATGAGTCAAAAAATTATCCATGGCAACAAACTACAGTAATTTGCAATAACAACAAAAAAGTTAACTATTTGAATAATAATAAGTTATTGTATTTATTTTAAAATTCATACATTATTTTTGAAAGCACTAAATTATTAGATAGCTTGTTTCAACATGACCTAAAGCACTGTTGAACTATAATATAGCTTGTTTCAACATGGCCTAAAGCACTGTTGAAGAAGGTTTTGTTGTTGAAGAAGGTTTGACACTGTAGAATACTTTGTATAGATTTGAGCAATTACCATTTTTTTAAATTACAGATCATTTATGCTGATTGTGTAGATCTTATTTGTTAATTGTGTAGATCTTATTCGGGTCATTTGTAATTACTAAATCAATGGTACTGTTATTAGGAGTTGCTTCTAACACTAATCATAAGAAGAAGATTGAACGGAGAGTTTCTAAAAACTCTACGCTAGATTGACGTAAATAATTTGATACTCCATTAATGTCTCAGTGTATGTTGGGGTAGTTGATATTACCTGTTATAAAAAAAATTTGAGAAGGATTTTATTCTAACAAGTTGGGTAGGAACTTAATGAATTTGTTTATTGTTGTATTTGGTGATTTGAGTCTGGTGGTCTGTAGATGCAATCAGTAAGAGTATTTTCTGCTTAAGATTTGATTTCAAACCATAAAGATTCAACTATTTAATTGTCTAAAATGTATAAAATTTTTAGTGATAAGCTATTTTTTTTTAATCTAAACCATCACACCTCCACTTTTTTCTTCAGTGATTTGGCTTTTATTGTATTGAATTATTTTTATTGTAATGAGTTGTATTGTAAATTGACAAATAATGTTGATAAATAAGGTTCTTGAAAAACTTTGTAAATAAGGTTCTTGAAAAACTTTATTTACAAGATAACGCTAAAGAGAAAAAACTATTTTTTTCACCTTAAGCTTATCATTATAATTAAGTAAATAATTGTTGCTCCTTTGCTGACTACAAAATTACAACTTCATAAACCAAAAACCTAATATTCTCATCATAAATTCATTATCATGATCATCATAAACATCATTACAATAGTTTCCCATTGTTTTGTTTTTTTATCAAATTAAATGAAAGGTTAAAATAATAAGATAAAGCACCAAAACAAGACAAAACTTCCCCTAAAAATTTTCCTAAAAAACGAATTTCAAATCAGATATTATTACTTTATTTTTTTGAAAGATTAAATTTTATATACTTTATTTACTAACAAAAACACATAAGTTTATTTGGTAGCTAAAAATTTTTTCAACCTCTGCAGTTGAACCTTTAGTAAAACTTGTGAAATAATCTTTTTGTATACTTTGATTACAATATTAAATAGCTTTTTCTAACCTTTAGTGTAAATAGTAGATACAACATTTTTTTTTCTTTTTAATAAGCTAACCTTCCCAAGGCTTCAGAGACAATAATAGCTGAAGAGGCTTCAGAGGCCACTATAGTCGACTATAGTTGGCTTTTTTAACCTTTTTAATAGTTTAACTTTTAATCCCTAACTCTAAAACACAAACCTTGTTAAACAAGGCTGTAGAACTGCTGGCTCCTGTGCTGCTCCTAGCTAACTGCTGTGCGGAGGAACAAGTTGAGCTTATTACTTCTAGAGGTAAAGAATATTTTTAAAACTTAAATCTCTGGATTGTGAACTTAACATTGTACCACTAGTCTCCCAGCCGACACAAACACATCTTTTAGACATTTTTTTTTTTCGCATTTAAAATGTTAACACTTTTAGAAGTCTTAATTCAGATAAATATAAGACATCTATTAGTAGTCAACTTTTAGACGGCTTGAGACAGCTATTATTTGGGGTCTCAAAGATAAATACAATTAGATGTTTTATAGTTATCTGAATTTAGATGTCTAAAGGTGTTAACATTTTAGATTCTAAAAACATAAAAACATGTAAAGTATACTAAAAAAATTACCTTGACAAAAAGTTCCATTTCCAAATAAACCTTCTCTGCACATGCAACGAAATGACCCATAAGTATTTGAACATATGGCATCTTTATGGCAGTTATGTTGATCAACACATTCATTTATATCTATTAAAATATAAACATTTTAACATTTATACACTAATAAAAAGTAATTTAGAATAATTTTACACACATAGTTTGTTCTGCTTACCTTGACAAACAACACCATTTCCATGAAATCCATTTTTACACTCACATTTATAAGAACCAATACTATTTGTACAAATAGATTCACTATGGCAATATATAGATTTATAAAGACATTCATCATCATCTAATAAAAAAAATAATTATTATATAATCAATGTCTACATTATGAGTTTTTTTCTATATAAAATAGATTTATAAATTAATATAAACACAGAGTAACTAATATTTTACTATATTATAATATTGTATCATTTTATTTCAAATAATCATTGACCAATATGATCATCAGAAAGAACAAAATCATCTGTATCAATATACAAAAGAAGCAGAATTAAAAAAATTTTAAATATGTGAAAACAAAAGAATCAGTACTTCTAAAGACATAGGGTAAATTTAAACCCTCAACCTCATGACTACCACTAGACTACTACTACATACTGCATATAACAACATTAAGTTTAGAAAAAAAAACCCGTAAAATTACAAAAATTACTTATACTTAACAGTTTGGGTCCTAATTGAATATGATATAAATAAAGAAAGTTATATTTTTAATAATTTATTCAATTTCCCCATAAAACACATGCATTATATATCCTGGCGCTGATTAAATGTGGAATGTTTTACAACTTTAGTCTTAGTAACAGGTAATAACAGGGGTTATTACCTGGTACAAAGATACAATGTAAAGTACAATAATGTACATAATTTTTATACATTGCATTTTTTTTTAATTATTTATTTAATTAAATACTGGTATGACATATAGGACAAACATATAAATATATATATATATATATACAGGGGTGGGACCGCAAAATGTGAACGTTTTTGTTTTATTATAACTATTTTCTCGTTAGATGTAGTTGTACTCTCTCACTTATCAGAAAGTGTCTAAAGAGTTGGTCTAAACGTTGTAAAATGATCTACGAGAATCAAGGAGGTCAAATTAAACATTTAAAATAGTTCATATTTAACAAAAAATTAATTATTACAATCAGAAAAGTGTTCACATTTTGCGGTCCCACCCCTGTATGTATATATATATATATATATATATATATATATATATATATATATATATATATATATATATATATATATATATATATATATATATATATGTGTGTGTATATATATATATATATATATATATATATATATATATATATATATATATATATATATATATATATATATATGGATTAGGTAGAGGCTGTCACGTGATTGTAATATTATCACCACATTCAAAATGGTAAAAGTCGTGAATTGTTCTGAAAATGTAAATGTTAAAAAAAACTTTGAAAAATTGTTTAAGCTATTTTATTTCATTCGAGTTTAATTAACAATGTAAACATTTTTTATGCAGCTTTTTATTTCTAAGTACCTAATTGAGCTTGAGTAAATAATAGGTTAATGTTAATTAGTAAGTAACTCTTTCAGTAAAATATTTTAAGCATTGTTTAAATGGATAATTTGGAATATCATTGTATGTTAATAATGTTTGTATGTTTATAAGCATGTCGAAATTTAGCGATATTAAAAAAGAAACAACAAGAATTCTGCATAAAAGTTATCTATACTTTATTATTATATTACTTATTTTTTATTATTATTATCTTTTATTATTATTACTAGCATTACTTTACATTACATAAATTTATGCTAAAAAGTTGTATAGAATTCAATTTTAAAAGTTGAAAAAGATAAAGAAGTTATTAAGATAAACCTTTACATTACTTTACATTATGTCACTGTTTGAAAAAATTTAAACACAACAGGTTTTTAGCATTTTTATTATCATCTATTAACAACTTCTTTATGTAATTTCTTAACTCTTTTATAACCACTTCTTTACATGATACAACCAAGTAATAAAATCTTTCTTAACTCTTTTATAACCACTTTTTTATGTGATACAATCTTTCTATCACTCTTACAGCTAGCCTTACTACTTTCTAGCTTAACCTAACTGAACAACAGTCTAATTCAAATCAATTTTTATTTCCAAAAAAAAGGAAACTGTGCCGTAATTATGCATGATGTAAATATTACAACATATTTCTTCACTGGAATAAAAATTGGATTGTTTTTTTCTTGGCACATCTTCATAACGAATTTCTTATAACATTCTTAATTATCAAAAAAATTTTATAGATTTTTTCTTATTCTTTGCAATGTTATCACCTCATTCACAACTGCCGATGCGATTGTTTTTGATTGACGTCAGAGCGATTTAATGGATATATATATATATATATATATATATATATATATATATATATATATATATATATATATATATACATATACATATACATATACATATACATATACATATACATATACATATACATATGCATATGCATATGCATATACATCCATGCATATACATACATACATATACATACATACATATGCATATGCATATATATATACATATATGTATATATATATATATA